TTAGATATTATACTAAATTGTCTCTGATGCCTATTTTTAAGTCATATTTCTTTTTTGTTTACATTACATTTGGTGTTCTTATTTTATTGCACTTATGGTGCAATGATAATTAAGGCATTTAACTCAATTCTCTTGTGTTTTTAGCATAATAAATTATTGGAATGGAACATTTGCATTTTTGGTGGGATGAGTATGTAACTTTGGTCTTCTGCATGCAATAATTTTGCAACTGCTCCTGTACAGCACACAACAGTTATTTACTTTAGCATTTAAAAAAATGTTTTACATGGTTGAAGGGTTAAAAATACATCCTGGTCTCTTTTGTTTCATAGACAGGAGAAACTGAACTCTTTAACACAATATTCACTTAGCAGAATTAATGTGCTCATGCACAGATTAAGAGATACTGACCATTTTAAAAAGCACAGAGGTAGTTTTAAAATTCAAAGTCACTAGAAGCAACTTTTGAACCTTGCTATGTGTCCATATAAACATTTAAGTCTCAGCCATTCTTAAAATATGTTTTCTGGAGGTGCTTTTCGTGCAGTCTTCTCATTCATGTGCCTGTTGCTGAGTTTTGAAGGACTTACAGACCACTAGGGCACTGCAGTGCAGTAACACTGATTACAGCCTTTCAACTAATGAGTTGTTCATACAGACGACAACTGAAGCTTTGTCATGTAGATGTATTTACAGAATGGGGAAAAACATGTCTTTCAATGAAATGTGTCATGTGTAGAATGATTTTTGGAATAAGGTAGGAGCAGAGTGTTGTGTCAAACCTACCCTCACCTCCACAAAACGGACATGCCACCAGTGCCGTACAATGCCCTCCCACACCCTACCTGAGACCCAGATTCTATTAAAATCTTCACATGCTAAAATGTTTGATGGGGAAGCTAATGTGCACACCGGGGGTTGTAGAAATGTGAAATGACACTTCATACACATATGAACCTTCAACACTGGACGTTGACCATTGTGACTGGTCATTCAAAAGTGCTTTATCAAACTATCCACACACCAATCACACCCATATATTATATAACTATTATATTCTAGCTCTATTGGACATACATCTGTAGAAGGAGCCAGGTGTGCTGCAAAAACTGATCTTATGCAGTCTTCTGTTGCTGGTGAGATGATTTAATAAAGATTCAAATACGCTTTGTTGAATGACATTTGTCTTCTTTTCCATCTCACTATTGTTTACTGGCTGATGATATAGTAACAGCTTTTAATTGAATAATATGATAGTTTTTTGTTTTTTTAAACTTACCGAACTGTGGTACAAAGAGATCATATACTCCTAAAGCTCTATGTTGGTTGACAGTGGTGTCACTATGTCTATTTTAGAGGGGGTGAAGCCTCCCCTAAATGTTCTCAAGTCCCCCTGATTAGTTTGGTGTTTTTTAATCAAATAAATAATCATATGTCCTGTTATTATTAACCCAACTATGATCATATATCTCAGTTTTCCCTTACTGCCTAATGTGAGGAAGAGAGCCCCATCAGTTAGTTCATTTCACTAATTCATATAGAGTTGGCCCTCTTCATTTAAAATCCCCTTTACGTTTTCCTGCCACCTTGCTTGCAGTCCAGCTCACAACCCAGTCGACTGCAGCGGCAAGAATATTCAAAGAGAAGGACTTGATAAGAGACAATGAGGATATATAAATGTTTTTAAGATGGCAAGTATTAATCATCAGTGCTGATAGTCCAAATTAGTTACCTGCATTCAGTAAAGCTTAAAGTCTCGTAATAAATGAACCACGTTGTCACTGTTTACCGAAAAAGACATGGGCATACACTACTATGAGAGAGTTGTGTTCCAGCTCTATAGAACTTAGATACTGTTTTTTCCTAAATCATTATGAAGGTTGTTTCAGTTTTTTAAAGAGCTAGAGTGTGTAGTGTTTTTATCATCTTTGGGTGGACTTTCTTCTGAAGTATCAGTTATTTCTCATTTTGGATGGTTGGATGGACCATGAAAACAGGAGATCATTCACATCAGAGTATTTTTAAAGGATGATAATGACAGTAGTAATGATAATTTACAAATAATCTGGATATATTAACATTGCTTAAAGCCAAACCTCGCAGTTATTAACAAAGAATAATAAAGTAATTCATAAAGAAAACAATAAATTTGCCTCAAGTAGCCCTTTGTGTCACTCCGTGCCCCAGCCTTATGCAGCCCACAAGGTAATAGAGCATAAAGACCCCTGGTCCAGAGTTCACAGTACAGAGGAATTTGTGATAAAGATAGTCTTGGAATTTTATGAAACTTCATATGAATATGAAATATCAAGCATGTTGTCAAAGGGCACCATATTATATTTATAAACCATGAGCTTCTCTTTGGGGAAGAAAAATGGAGATAACCGAGAGATAAAATGTCAAAATATGTTTGGCCTTTTCTTGATTTTCTGTTTTTTTCCATTTTCGTCAGTGCTAAATGTTTCAAAACACCAAACTAAATAAAACATTAGTCAAAGACAACAGCAGTATACATAACTTTTTTTTTTCAATTATTGTGTTTTTATTAAGGGAGAAACAAAACTTGGTTTATCTCAATACATTTTAAACTGTTATTTCAGTTTATTTCAAACCATTTTATGTATAAGCCAAATTAACCAAAATCAAATATTCTTAAAGTAGCTAATTATTGTTCTAATTCAAGTTACTTAATAGCACCTTTCAGGGCTTAATGATACCACTTGGTTCCCAAATGTAATCCGTGTAACTTCAAAATATTTGGAAGAAAATAATTAGTGTGGTGTTGGTGGAAGTCATGTCATTATCCTTTATGTTAATTAGTTAGTAATCTAATTTATAGAGTTTCAAAATATTGTGAAGTGACTGGCCAAAAGAGATGCTGATGATCAAACAGATCAACATGAATACTTTGTGTTTTTTGGTTTGCCCTACTGATAAGCTTATGGAGGGCCTGCAACTACCTGGGGCGCCATCTGCTGGACAGGGTGCAGAATAGCAGAATGCAAAAAAAAAAGTAACGTATGCATAGGTATATGTATTATAAAACCATAGATTCCCTTTGCTGCTAGGAGGTCCAGATGAACTAAGTGTTGGAAGTGTGAACTCCTCTTCTATCAATTTATATTTAAATCGATAACACTTAAATCTGCTAAAAAAATATGTAACATAAGAAATACAATTTAACTTGTGTGGCTTGAAGTTATATTGTAAATTGCGTATCTTTTATATTTTAGATCATATTTTATATTTTGTTTTGTGTTTGGAGAAAGGGCCACATATTAAAATCTTTGTCTTCTTTGTGCTTCTTTTTCACTCATGTAAACAACATACAATGTGAAGCTTTTCATGAAACAATGTTAAAAAAAGCAAATGACATGACTGAAAAAGATTAATTAAATTTAGTTTTAGGGACGGTTGGGTGTTCTTTTTTCCTTTAGGTGAGATCTGTGTGCTCCTCAATTGTTTAAGATTGCTTGTTTTTGTTTTTAAGTGTTATTTATAACTATGTTGACTGAAATGGAAGGTAGAAATTTCTTTACAATAACACTTTGATCATTTTAAGTTTTCCTTTTGAGTGCTCAGCTTTATGCTGGTTTTAAATTCGTACTTCATCTGCATTACATGTGAAAAAAATTTGGTTATTGTAGTATTCTCAAGAAACTTATATCTGAAGTTTAATTTTTACCCTTTAGAGTGTTGACTATCAAAGTTTTCTTAACCATGATAGGACATTTTGAGTTGTTAGTTATAACAATATTCTCAGGTTGCTCATCTTTCAAAATAACACATATTCTTTTTGGCTGTTTATATTTGAGTTTAATTATACAATTTTATGTTTTAGATTTTGCATCCATCACATTTGCAAACAATTTCCCTTAAACTTAGATTTACTCTTTAGGCTATTGGCTTTAAAAAGTGTTTGCGTGATCCATAAAAGTGAGTAATTATGGAATAACTGTGGAGTTGCTTTTCAGGAAGAATGCAAGCTTAGCACTGGACCCTCTCGCCTTGGGCATCAAAGAACCTAGAGCCGGCCCTGGTCTTATGGTTGCTTAAAACATTTACACAGTAAGTCATTTCTGTTAAATCTGTTCTGGAAAAGAAACTTCACCATTTTTGTTAGCTGTTTGAAAAAGAATTGCCATTGTCATAAAACCTAGTGACACCTTTTCCTGTTGATATATGTAAACATGATTGAATGATCCCTTTACAAAATAAATTAGGTTAAAATGAAGTCCAAGCAAAGCCACCAATTAATCTTCTATGCATGTAGAGTAGAGGAGAAGAAATTGAGCAAAATTATATTTCTAGCACACACCAAAGATACATGATTCATATATAACAGGAAAAAAATTCACATGTAACAGAAAGAAAAAAAAAAACACTGACTCTCCTATTTTTTTTTTTTTGGAAAAAGGGGGTGCATATCAGCTGAAATTAATGTAGGCGTAAATAAAATAATCATAATGTTAAGACTCAAAGGTGCATATCAATAAATGCATTTGCAAATGCCACAAAATGCATTGAACATACAACTCAAATCTAACTTGCTTCTTTTCATTTCACACAGTAATTACGTGTGATGCTGAACTTTTCGAGAGAAGATAAGGGCAAAGCGCTAGAGGGTAAAGTGATGTTATAATTTTATCAAATTGAAATAAATTGATGTTCAAACTAGAACGAAAGCCGTGTTACATCTTTTGAGACGGATATGAGTGATGTTATGAGAAACCCTTGCTCTATAAGGAAGCAAATTAATTTAATTTAAAGCTGCTGCTCTGCGCCCTGTGCTTCCTATACTCTGCATCGCCAGACGCGCAGCTGAGACTGATCAAAGAAACTGACACTCTTTAAGAATTCATCAGTATGTGTTGAAAGTTTACTCGCCTTTTGGTTATACTTTTAATTTTATAACTGAAGTGTTTAAAGTGTGCCTTTGCGCGTCCTAACATGCCTTACGCATGAATGGAGTGCTGGATCAAGCAGGTATTTTCACTTACCAAGCGAGTTTCCGATCAGTGAGACAAAGAAAACAACTATGTAAGCCACTATTAGAACCCACTCGTACTCCTTAGGGTGTAAATATTCTGTCCAGATGTATCTCAGAAGTTCCTCGTCCTCATCCATAGTGGAGTGCACGCGCGTCCTGGTGCCGTTACTCCCGTGGTTGGGATAGTTACACTCGTCACAATCCAAGTTCTCCTTGATTCCGGACATCCTTGAAACGATCTAAGCAATAAAATACGGCGAGAATACCATACGTCTGCACTGGTCGCTGTCTAAGGTGCTGACTGGCAACGAGGACGCGTCTCAGCCAATCTAGTCAGGATGACGAGGGTGAATCCGCCTGATTCTCTATACATTTCAGAGCCACACAAACCATTTAGGTAGCAGAATCTGGAAAGCTTTAAATAATATTGGAAAACAGCGGAAAAATTTAAAGAGGTCATTACATGCGTGTTTAATTACATATTTTTTTATATATATAAGATAACAAAATGAAGCCGAACAGGATGAGGCCAATTTATTTCAAAAGCGTCAAAAAATACAATGTTAATATCAAAACCAAATGGACGATGTACAAAGCGAGAAACATTTACATTAATTCAGTTCCATTTATCAGAATCAGAATTATATAGGGCCAATTCACAACACATGTAATCACAAGGCACTATAAAAAGACAATTTAACCAGATCATATAAAAAAAATATTTTATAGTGAAAACCAACTGATTGCATCTACTCACTGACTTGACAGCAATCTCCCACACAAAGAATGCATGCAGCGACAGCGGAAAGAAAAAACTCCTTTCTGCAGGAAGAATCCTGCAGCTAAATATATATATATATATATATATATATATATATATATATATATATATATATATATATATATATATATATATATATATATATATATATATATATATATATATATATATATACAATGGCATGACTGCAGTTGCTTAGGGGCCCCCGACTTCTTAGGTGCCCCGTCACCAACGCAATTGTGGACTAGGACGTCTCTTTGCAAATGTAATGGTGTAAAAAAATCTGTCTTACACCCACCGGATACACATCGGATTAACTGACTGGATCTTATTTATACCCCAACACATGGCAGATTTCAACATGATGGTGAGCCGTTTACACACAACACCAATAGCAAAGCAGACAGTGGTACTTTTAATAACTATGTTAATAGCTGTGTAAAGTTCTTTAGACGCTTGGTAAAAAATACACTTGTATAATATGTTTCAAAGCACAATAAAGATCTTAAAAGAACAATGTATTTGAGTATTTTATGTTTTACAATACGACTTGGAATCATGGGTAATCCAGAGCTTAGATTTAAACCATAACCGTTGCATACAATGTGTTAGCGACGATGGATACCCATAAAGAGCTACTTAAGCAGTTTCCAGAAAAGAAAAAGCAAAGAAGAGCTACTGGAAGAACGGCCTGTTGTACTTCATATGTGTCGTTACACCATTGTGTATATATATATATATATATATATATATATATATATATATATATATATATATATATTTTTTTTTTTTTTTTTTTTTTTTTTTTTTTTTATTGTGCCTCCTAGCCACCATTAGGACTCAGTAGTTTTTATCACTGAGTGAATCCTAAAGTAACACCTTTTTGTCCTGGTGAATAAATTTATCTATTTATGTGTAATCTGAAAATAATTTCGGTAGTTATTAATTTACTGTTAAAATAATTAAATAAATTGATCTGCATGTCGCTCATATTAAACAAATAAATCTCATATCCTGTCAACTGAGTTGCAGAATCCTCTCTCTGTAAATTATAATTCTCTGTGAAATAATGCTGATAATTCTTTAATAACATCCTTATGAAAAGGATATTCAATGTTTGTTTTTAAAACTTACGTTTCTAAAGGACCTAGTAAATTATTTTCTTTTTTTATGCACAAAACTATGAAAAAAAATCTTCTGACTAAATGAAAAAATAAAACAATGTGATAGGCTTTAAAAAGAGTGGAGACAGGGGACACAGAGTTTACTGAACAAACTCTCTGCTCCCGACCAGTTTAGCTCTGAGGAGAATGTTACTACTGTGAGTGAAACAGAGGTTGACTCAACTCTCTTTATGAAACAGAAAACTCAATATTAGAAAACTTAGAGGCCTCAGAAATCCTGCTTATTGAAAAGGACCCCAGATTTTATTGCTTTTATTGTGACCCTGTGTATATTATTCTTTTTCACTTGTTCAATTTGTAGAGCATTTTAATTGCCTTCTGGTTTATAAATTGCTTTTTATATTATAATGATGATAATAATAACTATTACTATTTAAGTGATTATGTTAATATTAAAAGTCAAATATTATTTGTCTCCTGTATAGGAGGAGGGGAGGCTTGTGGAAGGGGGAACCAGAGTTGAGACTGCTGCTGAAGGACTGTCTGAATCCAGGAAGTTGAGGTTGGCGCAGGTCAGAAACGTGCAGGGTGGCTTGGAGGGAGAGAAGGGTTCAATAATAAGAAGGAGGCCCTAAAAAGAAGAACATACTAGACTGATTTAAACTATGGTGAGGAAGTGCTGGCAGTAGACTCCTTTGTGTTCTCCATAACGAGGTCTGATGGGAAACACCAGTCAGTCCCCAGTCACCAAAGCACAGGGGTCTTTCGCAATTTTTCGCTAAAACTCTCAGAATTACAATGATATATATATATTTTTCTGATGAAAAAAAATGTATGTTTAAATAAAAAACTTTTGTTCAAGAAACAAAGTTGTTTTTATTGAAATTACTCCATGTTTCTCACAAGGAGAAGGTTATTTGCAAAACATAAACTTTTACTTGCATGTGTCAGAAATCTTTGGTTACGATTCTCAAAATTTTGTTTTAGATGCTCCCTTTTAGGGGGAAACAAAGAGGTGGGAGCATAAACATCCTGGGTGGGGCCTAAAGAATAAAGATGTAAGACGAGTCCATATTGGCCTCAGCTATTAGCTGCAGACCTCTACCTCTGAGAGTATGACAAGCTGCTGTTTATCATGTTTTTCTTTTTGGGACTAACACATTAACCAGGAGACCATATTGCTGGAGATATCAGCTTCAATGAAAAAATTGACCTTAGTACAACTTGTAATATAAATAGAGCAAGACCTCTAAGAATGCCCAGATCTTCTCAACATGGCAAAGCCTGCTATTTTTTGTCTTTCCAGTGTGGTTGCTTTTCTTGTTATACTCCAATGCATAGCAAGAAATACTGTCAAAAGCCGTAAAACCTTTTTTGTTTGTTTGTTTTTTAGATGAACAAGCGAGTTGGTTGCTATTCAATTTACTGTCTTATTCTATTAATCTAATTTTATATGAGTTAATATGTTTTATACCTAATGGATCAATGCAATTATGTTTTCATTATTTGTCAATTTGTTTGGATTGGAAAAAAAACATTTCTGCTTACATAGCCTCTTGTGTCAGTGATCACAATGTCAAATCATCAAAACACTCGTTTGGGGCTTTGTTTAGTGTTTTTCATTTTGTGTTTCTATATTATGATGAAAATTTACTGTTCAAGATAAAACTTAATCTACCAAAACAGGCTTTTTCAGTGCTTGATTTTCTTATGCCGGAAAAAAATAACCACACTTAAAAGTAAATGTCAGGTAGATACAGTATTTTACTGCAGTATGATATGGCATCAGCCAACAGTATCATCTCTCCAAATAAAGGATCACTTCAGATATATATTTTTTATATATATCAGAAGTCCAGTTGTTCTGTGGTTTAACCTTAAAAAGCATGTTCAAAACATGACTTTTGTGCCTTTTCTTTTAGCGTTTCTTTATAGGTATGGCTTTTGAGATCCCTCCTACTGAGTAGAAGGGGTCTGTAAAGCCTAATAATAGAGTAATCCTTGCAATAATATGTTTTTTCAATAGCCTGAGAAAAGTCAAGTAAGTTGCAGTCTCCGGGATCTTTGTTTTCTCTGCATAATATGCACTCAACGTAAAGCCAGACTTAAGGAAAAAGAGCCAGACAAAAAGAAATGCGAGGGAAAATTCAGATATGCCTCTGCACAGAGCATTCACGTAAAGGCTGCAGACAGCAATTACAGCTACTGTGCTAACTAAATGCAAGTGAATGACTTGCGATCATTATGAGCCCCGATACTAAATTGTGATGTTCTTTCTTTACATATATACATATATGCCATGCAAAATAAGGATTCATGAATTTATATACTAATGAAGAGAAAAACTATTTTTACTAATTCTGACTTTTACATTTTATTTCCATTGTGTTTTACTCTGGTTAGGGATACAATGAATATTTATTGAAGTGTCTCTGTAAGGTGCCAACATATAGTGGTGGCAAGTTTTGTGATTCATGATGATGCATTCAAATATTTTTTACTTCTGCCTGCTGCAATAAAAAAAAATAAAAAATGTATTATTTTTTTTATTATTCGGTACATTTGTTAGAATCTGAAAAAAAATCTTATGGTCAGAGGACTGGGTCCCTGATGCCAAATATTATTTGATAAACTGCTTAAGATATTATTGGTTCAATTAGTGTATGCATGACAACCATCACTACATTATGGAAAGAGGTAAAATAGATGTAGGCACTATGATTCTTTGGGCAATGATCTGTGGCTTTAGGTCTGCCAATTTTGGGATTTTCTTTTTTATGTTTACCCTTAGAATGGTTGCAGATCATCTACATATTTTAATGAAAACTGGTCTGTTTCGGCAGACTGGTCACTCACACTACAGAGGAAGCTGGAGTAGTCCAGCCTAGAAGAAATAGAAGCCTGAAAAAAAAACTACTAAGGACATTATTTGATTTTACAGAGTTTCGGATGATAAAAATTGGAGTACTACACTAAAAGCTTAGATGTGGTTCAATGAGTATTAAAGAGTTGATTTTACCTCCAAATTATCCAGATCTCAAGCCAGAGATTTTAAACATATCCCAAACAGACCAAAGCCACTCAATTTTACCCGTGGGTTCAGATGAATACCCCTGCTAAAATATAGTGATTGTATATCCAGTATATATATATATATGTATAAGGCTAAAATAGCCCGAAAAATCCTCGAACCTTGTAATTCTGTTTAGCCCAGCTTTATATGATGAGCACCAATAAGCACCAAATCAATTAAAGTGATTCTTGAGGTCAGTTTTGCTGAAAGCAATTATGTTAAGTAAACCACCAAAGTCCAAAAGCAATAGTAGGGCCTTTTTTTTTTCTGACACAAATTGAGCTCAAAATGTTTGAGAAGATACCAAGGAAAAACA